GGGAAGCACTTGAGCATCACCGTGTGTGCCGGGGGAGGAGGTGTTGCCAGCAGAGGGTCCACCGGGCCCGGTGCCCAAAGTAGCAGAGACCATGAATATTTCAGGGTAACAGGTGTGATCCAAGGATTTAAGGGCTCCCCAAAACCTTTGCATCCCTAACAACACTTGATGAATTCTCAACCTTTGGTGAGATGGGGGTGATAAGCAGAGAAGGGGTAGAGTAATGTGCCCCCCCACCCCACCCAACATGCTGTTAGGAGAGAGTCTCTGAAAGAAACTCAAGTTGGTTTTAAAATAATAGGATGTGCCATTTCTTGCAAATCAAAGTTCCCCTGGAGTTTGTAGACAGACAAATGAGATTTTAGATCTGATGTTATATGCACCGAAAATTCTGGAAGGACACACAAGGAAGAAGCTGAGGGACATGGCCTTCGAGAAAGCTACCTGGCCAAGTCAGAAGGCAAAGCAAAGGGCTACTTTCTATTTTTTACATATTTTATCATGAATTCTAATATTTATATAATGAAAAACTGTACTTATAGAAACATCTCAAAAGTAACAAGGAAAATGTATGCAGATGATAGGCAGCATTTCTTATTCTATGTGCTATGGGGTTTCCTTGTTCTAAGTCGTTCGAATTATATAATAGCAGACTGAGGAAGCAACTGTCTGTACTATACTCTCCCTTTTCTCTAAGCGAGGAATCTGCTGTGCGGAGAGTTTAAACGACGTGTCCTAAGCTGGACAGCTAACAGGTGGTAGAGCTACACAGCCCGAGTTCTCAGCCACCACCCTATATGCGAGTTAAAGCCAGGCAATCTCTAAACCTGGAGAATTGGGGTGCCTCAGGGGCTCCATAACTTAAGCATTTGAGTCTTGACTTTGGCTCAGGTCATGATCTCGGGGTCCTGGGATCGAGCCCCACCCACGTTGGGTTCTGTGTTCCCTGGGACCCTCCCCCCAATTACTTTCTCTCTCTCTCTCTCTTTCTCTAAGTAAAGAAATAAAATATATTTTAAAAAACATCTAGAAAGTTAAATCCTGTGTAACTATCAACTATATAGATTTTTCCGACAATATAATTCACAAACAACTATAGTTTAAATAATGCAATTATTTCTATTTTTGACAATAGCCTTTACAAGTGGTTTTTATTTTATCTGTCAGCTTAATAGAGCACTCCAGAAACAATGCTTCTACAGTGCTTTCTTCTGATATATGGCATTCTCTAGATTTTTTTTTAATCTTCAAATATTACACCAGCTCTTTGTTTTAATTATATTTTTGACTTTGGAATGTGATTTTGTCAAAAGATAATACGTGGCCCTGAATTGGCAATCTCTGAAGGATTGATGAACATCCTCGTTTCCATGACATCTCGAGCCATAACTATTAATAGACTAGTGAGCCAGTAAACACAGTACTAATTACAGCTAAGTGTAATTATAATTAGTGCTGTATGGCCATTCAAACTGAAATATGACACTTGGAAGAATATTTATATTTTAATTGAGAACACTTTTTATCTCTTAATAGTCAAGGATCCACAATTTGGCAACGATGCTAGTCCCTCTAGTCTTTGTACTATAAACCTTATGATGTGTGTCTTCATGCGGCTGGAGTTAATTTACTGCAATTTGCCCTGTTGGGAAGTGTTTGGGATTTCACGGATGCTTTTAGATTTCACCAAAGGCGGTGGCCAGTATAGGTCATGTGGAAAGGATCGCACCTCTACCACGCGTTCTTCAATAGCTGTACAGTCATGTAGACGTTCAACTAAAGGTCAGGTCTAAATATCCAAATGTCAGGAAGTAGTCAGCAATTACCTGTGCGTTTGAGTCCCAGCCACTGAATGGGATGTATTATCATTTCGACTGAAGCGTTTGTTATTTGAGAAGAGCCATCAATCCCCCACCTCACCCCATTTTTCCAGCAAGGAGATATCTTTCACTGTTTATAGTTAAGGACGCTGATGCTGGGCCCTCCCCACCATAGAACCTTTTAGTGTCTTCACTACTTCAGCTCAAAAGGTGAGTGCAGCTGTGCCAGGATGTGTTCACTTGAGCTCAGGATGCTGTCACTGTCCCCCTGCTTATTGTTTGGGGTGGGAAGATGCTTTTTAATGCTCTACCTCACTGGCTGGATATGTAATAACTTCTCATCACATATTTTCAGCTCCTAAATACTCTACAATACACCTTTAGAAATCAAGGCATGCTATCCCTTTATTCAAATTCACAAAGTAAAATTGAAGAAAATAAAATCCTTACTCTGCAGATGCGTCTGTCTAACTTTCATCAATACACACACACACATATCATGTGAAAGGTTGCAATAAACTCAGCACCTGATGAAGGAATCTGTAAGATATTGGAAAAAAACTATTTCAAAGGAGACTTCAAAGAAGACACACACAGACACAATTAGCGACGCTGAAATGAATTTGATCAGAGATGCCAAAGTCATCTGTCGCCACTGGGCCATCATGGATGGTGTCTCTTCCATACAAATTTCCCTGTGTTTCCGTGGTCAGGGATCACCTCCCCTGCTGTCACGTTTCTACCACTTTCTGAGTAGTAACATAGCTCAAGGACAATGAAAGGCACTGACCACTACCCCATCCTTTAACCACAAAGAGTGTGCTAGACATTGAGAGGATAACCAGCAATTTTTTTGCCCAGGGCAACTTCAAATGTGTTCCTGACAATAACACTTACAAATTAATTATTTCCTTTAAATAATTTCTTTCTAGTAAAGTAATCCAAGTAAAATCATCACCATTTTTGGTGTATTACTGTACTCTTGGTTAGTTCTCTAAAATTTTGATACCTTACTTAATGAAAGTATCTACGTTTTGAAAATGCACATAGTTACATAAAACACAGATTTCTGTCTTATTCTGAATGGTCACTGTACATTTTCTTAGATTCTAGTTTAAATAGGTTCTTTTTAATAATCAATTCTTTCCATTAACAAGAATGAATGAATGGGTTTAAGATGCAATTTCCTGGTTATTTTGATAAAGTGATGATTAGTTCACAGGCATTTGTGTGATAGTATAAAGTTGACCCTGAAAAGACTTCTCTTGACTTGCATTCAAGATGGTAATAGGTTCTTTTCGATCTTGCTGAAAATGACTTCAAATCAGCTTGTGACTCATTGAAAATATGGGATCATATCCAAATGACCACTTAAATATATCCTTTAAAGTGTAATAAATAACTAGTTTTATAAAATAATTTATACAACATTTTAATCTGAGATCATCTTATTGTATCTGGGGACACATATTTAGTCTCTGAGCACAAGAGAATGATCTTTTTTGTCTTTGCCGGATACATACAGGATCTGAACTGAAGACAGAAGCTGCACACCCATCTCCTGTATAATCCAAAATCAAGACATTAACATGCTCCCAAGCCTCTTTCATATTTATTTCTTGAGTCCAGCTGTTTGATTACTGACCTGAAGAACCCCGAAGTGTGTAGCTAAAGGAAGATGGTCTCTCTCTCTCTGTGTGTGTGTGTGTGTGTGTGTGTGTGCTGCCAGTTAAGACAGAGGTGCTTATATATAGGTCTTCCAGGGGCCCTGAGGTCAGGATGTTATGAAGCTCATTTTTGTTCTTTGCATCCCAGGCAAAGATTCCTTCTGTATTTCACTCTCCGTTCTTTGCCATCTCTGGATCTCGGGAGAAATCAAGCGAAAGGTGGTGGTGTGCTCAGGGAAACTGACATGACACCCGCTGGTAGCTGGCTGTTGCCGGTCACCCTGAGAGCACACATGGGCAGGTGGCGCTGCGTGAACTACATCTCGGCAGACCCGGAATGATGGGCCAGCTGGTTGAACTGTGATTCAAGGGGTAGGGCGGGAAAGGGTTCTTGTTTTCTCTTTTGGGGGCAAGGAAAAAATCTACTTTTTAAAGAGGTAATTATTGAATGAAGATTTGTGTATGTGTCTAGCTTTGGGGGGGGGTGTCTAACAGTAGGAAATGTGATAGATTTCCCAGTGGATATTCCAGGTTCCTTGAGCAGAGGCAGGATTGAGCTGAGGCTAATAGTCTAGAAGAGCACGTGGGTCAGGTAGCCAGGTCTCAAGCCAATTCTTGAGCCAACAGCAAAATATCTGGGAGGCTTACAAAAGTTTACAAATACAGGTCATCTCAGGTTTCTTACGTTGTTCTCTCTACTTCAGTTCCCATTATGAAATTTTCTTCAATTAAAAAAAACTGTTTTTCTTTTAAAAAACACCCATCAGTATGTTAAGATTAAAAGTTACCTCCAACCTATGAGATCCTTCCAGATATAGAACAATACAGTGAGGTTATTTTTAAAGATGCATCACGCTAAACACAGGGCCCTGGTTTATGGGACCATACAGCCGTCCCGCACAATGGCAAACCACTCCCTGATGATATAATGACTCCTGGACATGAATTCAGAAGTGAGGCCAACATCTCTGGAGAATTATAAGTCAACTCTAAACAATATTTAGTTTTCTCCTACATGAAAATTTGATAGTATTTTCCTCCAACTTCATATATATATATTTCTCTGTTTTCCATTTAAACAACAATAACAACAACACACACACACACACACACTTGCACATGAATATGGACATAATGCAGCTTAATTTGATTCACTGTTCAAAATCTTTCCACTAGTTATAAGCATAGCAGCTGCCTCTCGGGAAGAGATAAAATGCCAAGACCCACACCTGTGCACACCTTTCATGGCTTGCATTCATACTCAGTCTTACTCCTTGTTTTGACCTAATGACAGCACACATCATGGCAAGCCAAGATTTCAACAAGTTAAAAATTCTTCACAAAAAAAAAAAAACTGTAAGTAGGACTTTACGGATAGTTGCAAATAATCATTCCCTACTTTAAAACACTATTCTGACACGTCAATTTTATTTATATCTAACCCCCGGAGAACGGCGCTTGCCCTCTGAAAGTATGCTGGTGTCAAACACTGGTGGGTGGGTTCCGGCCTTACCTTGGTAGACAGCTTTAAATCCGGGGGAAGCAATGCTGTCATCAGACTGCAGATGAAGCCACATCTGGTTGCTCATGCTCACAATCAGGTCAGGGACGCTGGACCCAGTGAGTCTGCACAGAAGAGAAGCGTTAAAACCATTATGGAATCGCCAAATATCACTACTTTTACCTTGAAGGTCTTGCAGCTTCAACAAACAAGTATAGGTGTGTACCTTAAGATCCTCCTTCAAAGAATCAATAGCCACTTTTGGTTTATGTTTAAGTCTCACTATTACAGGCATTTTACAGTAATTATTCTCTCCTATGATTGAAAATGTCTATCTTTGATTTTTAAAATTGACTTTGGGTGACCAATCATCCTATTTGTCTGGAACTGAAGGGCTTCCCCATACCCTTAATACTGAATCCAGAACAGCTGGTAACCCCCGTGTGGAGGAGAGACAGATCTTAGGGCTGTCTGGTTGTACACATCACACCATCAACATGAATAACATCACACTATCAATACCTCTACACTGAGAAATGTTCATTCACAGAATGCTTAGATTTTCTAGTTTGAAATTATCATGTACCTTTGCCACCATATCTCTTCTAGAAATACATGATAGGATGGAATATTCTTCAGCACTAAAAGGAAATGAGCTGATTTGATCAAGCCTTGAAAAGAAACTTAAAAAGCTACACATTGGGACACCTGGGTGGCTCAGTGGTTGAACGTCTGCCTTCGGCCCAGGGCATGAACCCAGGGTCCCGGGATCGAGTCCCACATCAGGCTCCCTGTGAGGAGCCTGCTTCTCCCTCTGCCTTTGTCTCTGCATCTCTCTCTCTCTCTCTCTCTGTGTGTGTCTCTCATGGATAAATAAATAAAATATTTAGAGAATAAAAATAAATAAATAAATAAATAAATAAATAAATAAATAAATAACAGAAAGCTACACACTGTGTGATTACAACTCTATGACTTTCTGGAAAAGGCAAAACCATGGAGTCAGCAAAAAGATTGAGGTTGCCCAGCGTAGGAAGAGGGAGGAAGAGGTGGCATACAGGGGAGTATTAGGGCAGTGGGACTACCCTATATGATACTATAATGGTCAACACGTGTCTGTGTGTTTGTCCAAACCCACACAATGCAAAGTAGTATAAGTGAATCCCAATATAAACCATGAATTTGGGTTGACAGTGGAGGGCCAATGTGGCTGCATTAATTGTAGCAAATGTACCCACTGGTGGGGAATGTCCATAGTGGGAAAAGCTGTGTGTAATGGGACGGGGGTACATGAAACATATCTGTGCCTTCCTCTTAATTGTGCTATGAAACTAAAGCAATTCATACACACACAGAAACACACACACAAAACCCAAAGCAGCCATACATTAGAGAGTATCGACAAGAACAGCATGCACAGCTGAAGCACATTTGGCAAGTTTCCTGAACTTTCCCTCTGCATATCAATGTCCAGGTCATACCAAATGGAAGTTTCAATGAAGCATTCATTGCGTGTTAATAAAACAGTCACATAGTGGCTGCTGTCAGCTGGTGCAAAGAAACACTAAATCCATTGACTGAACTCAACATGCTGACAAAAAAAGCATGTTGAAATAGAAAAAGGGTAAGAAAAAAGAATCAATTCAACCAAAATAAATCTCTCTAATCAAATAGGAAGCTTTGCTTTCAGCGAAGTACTTTGGGGAATATGAACACATGATTCGTCCCATCAATCTTATCATTTACCTATCAATCCAACGCTTTCACCTTGGGCGGTACAGAAAACCTGCTTCTTCAAAGGAAGATGGACAATCCTCATTACATGGGAAGTAACTCATGCAATGTTACACACCAGTTAAAAAAAAAAAAAGAAAACCCAGAATTTCAGTGAATAATGTGCAGTCACTAAAAATATATTTTTTGAAAATTTTTCTTTGTTAGATTATTCTTTTATATGTGGTGTTTTATTTGCTTGTTTGGTTTGAAGAGACTCTTTTCCTTATGCATCCCTCTTACTGAAATGTGACACATCAAAAAGTGCACAGAACATAAATGTCTAGCATAGATGTCTGTTTACTTTGACTTATGTCTATAAAGCCACAACATTTTTCTTCTTTTCCTTCATCCTTACCAGGAGTATCTTCTCCTGACCTTTTACTTTCAAGTTACTCTGTGTGCATGCGTTGCATGTTTGTCTCTTGTAAGCACCATATAATCGATTTGTATTATTTTTACTTATTTTATTTATACTATTTTATCTAACCAGAGAATGTCGGCTTTTATTTAGAATATACTTTCATGATGAATTAGAGTTCATTTCCCCTGGTTTTCCTTTTTTCATTGGATAGTTATCTTTTATTTAACCCTCTTGATAGCTTTTCTTCCCCCCAACATTTCAAATATGTTATTCTGCTTTTTTCTTTTGTTTATATTAAGGAACACTCTATCAGTCTTACATTTGCTCTTATGAAAATATTTCTCTGCTTATACTTATTTTAAGATATTTCCTTGTCCTTTTTTGGTAGCAGATTCATTGTAATGTACCATGTGAGGTTTTCTTTGTATTATCCTGACTGGCTTATGAGATTTCATGAAACTCTTCCTTTGGGACACCTGGGAGGCTCAGTCGGTTGACTGTCTGCCTTCTGCTCAGGTCGTGATCCCAGAGTCCTGGGATGGAGCCCCGTGTCAGGCTCCCTACTCAGAGCCTGCTTCTCCCTCTCCCTCTGCCCAACACCCTCCCTGCTAGTGGGCACTCTCTCTCTCAAATAAATAAATACAAATCTTTTAAAATATATTAAAAAAAGAAACTCTTCCTTCATGTCTGTGGTCAATACTGGAAAGTTCTTCATGATAATGTTTTCAAATATTGGTTGATATCCTATTTTCTCTGAATCTCTTCCTCCTGAACTCCAAGGATACACATAATTTCTGTGCATTTTTCCCTGAACCAGTTAGAATAGTTTTCACTAAACTATCTTCCTGTTCAAGCCACATCAGTTGAGTTAATTATACCAGATATTGTATTTTTCTATTCTTAAACCTCCATTTGATTTGTCTTTATAGATTACAGTTTTCTGGTTAATTTCTTGATTATTTCATTTATTTTCTTAAATGTAGGAATGATAGTTAATTATCAGAGTTCCTGAGTGATAAGTGCAATGTCTGGGTATCTTGTTCTTTTTGTGTTCTCTCTTGGGTTGGAGTCATTGAATACTGTTTCTGGACATTTCAGGTAATTTTTGACAGAATGCCAGACATTGTGTATGAGCCATCTAGAAGTTCTGTATGCTATCACCTTGCTTTGAGATTATTTAATTTTTTTCTGACAGTAGAGGGACCACCTTGACCCATTCAGTCATTGGAATGATCCACAGCTGCATTCCAGGTACGTGGTCTCCCCAGTGCTTATCCCTTCTTATATCACAATCCAGAGAATACAATATTTACTTGATCTCCTCCTTGAAAAAAGTAGGTCCTGGACACCGATCTTTTTCTTCTTAGCCTTGAAAATCCCAAAAGTTCTGCTGAGCTTTGTAGACCTATAGCGGCAAAGTTTTGCTTTGGGTTCTTTTCTTCTAATCCCAGAAAGTTAGACATAGGCAAATACATCAAGAACCAAAGCCAAGCAAATGCCATGCTTACACCCTTGTAATTCCCATTTCCTTGATATCTTGGCACTTCAAGTCTTCAGTGCTTTGATAGCCCAATTTGGGGGTCCCATATCCCGTGTCTCCCAAAACTATATTCTCGGAGTCACAGATATCTGTTTGCCGGGATGCCCTAAACTGAGAATCAGAAAATGCCCCTCAGGGGAAATGATTTAGGAAATGTAAGAGTCATCAAAATGCATAGCTGCTCTTCTTTGATTTCTATCTTCTAAAACCCCTGGCCGCCTTATATCACTCTCCTATGCCTTGAAAGATCTGCCTATTGGTTATTATACTCTGCTTTCATAACTATTCTCTTTTTAAAAAAATATTTTATTTATTTATTCATGAGAGACAGAAAAAGAAAGAGGCAGAGACACAGGCAGAGGGTGAAGCAGGCACCCTGCAGGGGCCCGATGCGGGACTTGATCCCGGACCCCAGGGTCACACCCTAAGTCAAAGGCAGACAGACGCTCAACCGCTGAGCCACCCAGGCATCCCATAACTATTCTCAGTTAGAGGTTATGTCTGATATTTTTTGAGGAAGGGGAGATTCCAGTTGCTCATTTTCTCTCTGGCTTCTTTGTTTTCCTTTCTTATTTCTCTCAGATAATGTTCTCTAGACTGTATGAATATACAAAGGGACGCCTGGTCTTACTCATAGGCATTATAAACAGCTACCTGTTGCATCTTTGGTTAAATTCATTGTTTTGAGTCGGCACCTGGCTGGTAGTAGTTGGATACTACTCTTGATTTCACGGTTGTGAGTTTGAGCCTCATATTGGGTATAGAGATCACTTAAAAATAAAATCCTTTAAAAAAGCACTGCTTGGGTAAGAAAATGAAGAGAAAAGGACAAGTATCATTTTGTAATAAAGTTTATATAAATGTGGGACACCTGGGTGGCTCAGTGGTTGAGCATCTGCCTTCAGCTCAGGTCATGATTCCGGAGTCCTGGGATCGAGTCCCACGTCGGGCTCCCCGCAGGGAGCCTGCTTCTCCCTCTTCCTGTGTCTTTGCCTCTCTCTCTGCGTCTCATGAATAAATAAATAAAAACTTTAAAAAAAGTTTATATAAATGTAAAAAAGAAAGTATTATAACCACTGATTTTTCTTACACACTAATATATATTAGCTTTTGAGTTACATGTAGGATAAGTGGAAGACAGTGCTCCTTTCCACCCTTTTTAATTTCTTCTTTTTTATTGAAGTATGTTTGACATGCAGTGTTAGTTTCAGATGTACAACATTGTGACTCAACAATTCTGCTTACTATGCAGTGCTTACCATGGTGTCACCGTCTGTCACCATGCAGCACTATTACAATTTGTTGACTATATCCTCTATGCCATTATCATTGCATCCATGTCTTATTTATTTTACAACTGGAGGTTTCTGCCTCTTAATCCTCTTCATATATTTCATCCATCCCTAGTCATCTCCCTGCTGGCAACCACCAATTTGTTCTGTGGATTT